AAATGAATTCGTATGGAACTAGTCAACATACGAGTATTTGCTAAATTTAGTGTCTCCACTGATACAAAATATAATAACATCTACTATATTTGAAGTTAATCTCAACCAACAACCGTCAAAATTATCTGCGCATTTTGACGGAAGTACGTTTACACTGTCAGATATCTGCACCAATCTCAGTTAATTTTCAAGGGAGCTAAATTTTTAAACTGCGCAAATAAACGTTTTTTATTCACATTTAACGATTTACTTGCACAAGCCGATTTGCTTAAATTAGCTGAGAGTCTAAGCCGCCCTTAACACTTTGACTGCCATGTGTACCTATATTAAAAGGTATACACAGTGGCCTGGACCAGATCGCCACGTGTATATTCTAGTATACACATGCATTCTGTGCCGCGTGAGAACTAGAGTAGCACGCTTTTCATGCATTTCTCATGGGATATTTTTCAGCGTGGCATGGGGCGATCACAAAATAATATTAGCACCGACTTTAGATGAAAATTTCGTATGATGCGATAGCAACACTAATATACGTCAAAATACACTGGCATGACTTGCACAACAGCAATGCACCACATTTAAATCGAGAATGAGAATGACCACTATTCATAAGCTCACAATGCGGCTACAGACAAGAATAATCCTGTCTAAACCGTGCATGTAGCCGTCAAGACCGTGTTTAACGTCGTATACACGTGGCGTATAATATATATTTTTTTCACTTTTACGCCAGGTGTATATTTTTTATACACTTGCCCTAAAGCCCTGATTACAAAAAAACTAACATAAAGTATACATTAGAGAGCGTTAGAAAGGTATTTCAAATACTTTTCTATGAAAAAACACATGTGGCCCAAGCGCCCCTTTCATAGAATTTGGCGTGGCAGTCAAAGTATTAACAAAGATTTGACTATAAGTAATAACAAGTCTCAACTGACCATTTATTTTATTTATGAATAAAATTACCGACTCAGCATATTTCTCACAGTAAGCCTGAATTCGCTGACAAATTTTCTTACTTGGTTACCCGATGGGACGTTATGTAATCTGAGAGGCACGTGGAAACTGCTAGGCAAAATGAGGTCGTATATTAGGATATAATATAAATATAAAGTTTATTTCAAATAGTGTTGGAGTTTTCAAAATATATCAATCGAGAAATGTATAGTTTCCTCAATACAAAAGAGGAATGTATAGTTTCAATGGAAATATATAATCCAAAATTTAATTTTTGATGTATGTCGAACGGTAACAAGACAAAGGTACATTCTCATCTAGGCCTAGGCCAGGAAAGAGAGGTTGAACCTCGCAAACTCGACACAAGTTCTGTTTTATTTTTTTTTTTCTGGCAGGACAAGGGCTGCCTATTATGAGTCTAACTTTTTCCAACAAAATTTCTTTTCATCCCCTTAAAGGTCGTTTTTTGTGGTTTTTCCAAAACTTAGCGCTTCCACTACGTGTTACAATAAAATACCTTTATGGTAAATTGAAGAGGACTAAATGCTCTACAATTTACCCGGCGACAGCATTTTTCTATCACCTACCATTTAGCCAGGGTGGGGCTCTAAAGTTGAATCTTGAGAAAAGATGTTTTGGGAATTATTTTTTTTTTTGACTGAACACTGAACAGTAAAGTGAATTTACGGTGGTCTTCAATTCCGTCTGAATGTCTTTCCCATACAATGCATAGGTAACGAAATAATCGCAAAAGATAGTTGTAACCACTCTTTTGCGATTCCATAAGGGGCAGGGCTAGTTTCCGGGGGGATGTTGCAGTAATTACATATATTTTTGGAAAGTTTATTTAGTGCGCTACTGACCTATGTGAAACAAAAAACCAAAAAAAATATAAAAAAAATTGCCCCCTTTTTTCCGTCTAGAGGGGTTGTACTAGAAAAATGCTTTTGGTGTCTATGCATGTATGTCGGAAGTGTGTACAAAATAATATTTGAACCATTCACATGGAGGGCATTGTGTGCGAGAAAATGAAAAAAAAAAAAATTTTTTTTTTTAAATTTCATCATTTTGGGTGGTTCCAGATTAAAAATGGAGAGGCATTATATGAACTTTAAATATCATTCCTACATCGCTGAAAATTCGAACAGCCTAGCATTAGCCCTTCAGATGATATAGAAGGGGATTGTTTAAATTTCAACACTCTGTATATCTAAAAGGAGTGAATGTTCTTAAATGAAACTTATACCAAAAAATCGGCCAATTATTTATGAGTAGTTGCTGCATAGTTTCTGGTAAATTCGCTTTACTGTCCAGTCAAAAAAAAAACTAATTCCCAAAATATCTTGAGTCAAGGTCATTCAACTTTAGAGCCCCACCCTGGCTAAAGGGTAGGTGATAGACAAATGCTGTCGCTGGGTAAATTGTACAGCATTTAGTTCTCTTTAATTTACTATGGAGGTATTTTGTTGTAACGCGTAGCGGAAGCGGTAAGTTTCGGAAAAACCAAAAAAAAAAACGACATTTGAGGGGGTGTAACGGGATGTTACAGAGAAACATTTCTTTGGGAAAAGTTAGACCCATAATAAGCAGCCCTTATCCTACCAGAAAAAAAATAAAACAGAACTTGTGTCGAGTTTGCGAGGTTCAACCTCTCTTTCCTGGCCTAATCCGGCGACTTTATTCAAAGTCACCTTTGTACGTTTTGCACACACCCCTGCCTGTATGATGGTCGGAATTACGTGCTGAGACTTAAACACAGACGTCGCCAATTCAAGTTCAAGAAGTCAGGGAATTAACCAACTCGTCCAACTCTCAGTGCTAAAACATGAATTTCAACAAAAGGTCGGGTTTTCTAGGCGCAGGGAGGGTTGCAAAAGGCTTATAAAAAATCATCGTAAAAAACGGAACTTTAGAGGCCGACACTTTTGCTCTTCTATTCTGTTTTCAATTTCTGAAAATGATATGCAGGTTGCAGATTTATGGGTTGACGACCAAAATAACGGGTCAATTCTGTGCACATCTGTAAGCAAATCTATAAATTTCTATAAACCTATAGACACTGCAAAACGCATCGATTGCCAAACACTCCATCAGAAATATTTACGATCCTATAATATATTCTGTAATCTACAGAAAGTGCAGAATTACAAATTGTCTTTAGGCAGCTATAGGCTTATATGAATTTATAGAATTGCTTACAGATGTGCACAGAATTTACCCATTAATTCGAAAAATGACTTTTCATTATCGACGCTTCGGTTAATTAATTGCCATCTTCAATGCTCTAAACTAGTCCGAAGATGGCAAGAAAACTGGATTTCCTTATTTAACCTTGGTCGTCAATCCATAAATCTATAACCTATTATATTCTCTGTGAACGTGTACTAAATACTTAATCAGTAAAGTTCCTGTCAAATAAGCTCCAGAAGACATGAAGGCAACAGCAAGAAAATTATTGCATGTAAGTTGATAAACACGGGAAACAACAGCATTCTCAATTTAAGAATAATATCAAAGGAACTTCTTACCAGATATTACAATAGTGATTATATTTGCTTGGTGCATAATTCAATCAATATCATAGAACAATATTTTAAAGTCTCCTTTTAGAAACCAGTATTTATTTGGGTTAGCTGATTGGTAGCTAAATAAAAATATGTTCAAATTTGTTTCGCTGAATAATGTTTAAACAAACTGTTCTTTATTGATAGAAAACAAAATACACATTAGATTATTAAGTATTATACCAACTCAAAAACTTTGTATGTATAGAAATATCACAATCAAGTATTTATGTTTTTGCCTTGTATCGAGGATTAAGTAATTGGTGCGGGAAAATTATTTGAATAAATAATATCAAAATTGGCTGAAGGTTTTCTGGGATATCGATATTCTGTAAGTGGTAGCATGTGTATGTCCGTTAGCTTATCTATCGAAAAAGCGTATCAGCTCAAATTTGAGTAAAAAATATTTCTTCTGCACCGACGCTAAATGCAGCTTTCTAGAAAAAATCATGTAAGTCCGAAACTTTTTGATCAAAACTGGACGGCTTCACAAGAACATAGCAGCGTACTATTATGACCCATAGAAGGAACGCTGGTGTTAAAATATTGGAGAATAATTATTTATATGCCTGAATACATAATTACTTGAAATATTGATGTTACTAACAGTCCACACTAATAATGCATGACATGGGTCAGTTAGGAAATCTTTCCCAATAAAAAACCTTCAACAGAACTAAAAGTCAGCAAAAACCGAGTTATCTGCTTTCAAAACTGTAAACCAATTTAAAAAAAGGTCAGATATCAGTTGGCAAAGCGGTCAAAGGCTGTAAGCGGAGCATTACCTCTATTTATGGACCCAATTGCTAATTTTTAAAAGCCAAAATAGGACAACGCTTGTACTTATTGCGCGCCCAATAATTTTCGATTACCAATGTTTTGTGATTAATACAAATTGGAAAATACTAACATAACACAAACGAAATGTAAATGTAGAAATAAATTCGACTCTACATCAAAATAGTTACTCAAAATTAAAATCCTGGATAACAAAATATGACTCAACAAATAATATCGATAATAAAATTTTACACCTATTTACTTTATTTCTTATGCTCATTTCCCAGATAAGAAAATAATGTCAAGATAAAAATTGCATCAGGGACTTTGTAGCTCGTTTGCTTGCTTAACGAAATAGAAAATACAATTTCCCTATTTTCGTGTAATATTTGCTTGAATTTGCCACAAATCCTTAGGGATATCAGAGTTGGTAGATAATAAAGATAGATAGGTACCAAACTGCAAAATCGATTAGAAACGTCATGATCCAACAAAATGTTCTCCTAATAATAACTGGGAATACAAAATATAACCCAAGATTATCTCTTTAGTCTACTGTCTTGAAATATCTGGCAATATCAAATTTGAGACTTGAATGAAACAAGTCCAATTTCACTGAGAAATATTTAGGTAAATTTTCAAACTTGATAAGTACCTAATGTTTTTGCTAGTTTTAATATATTTTTTTTTTTTCAGATGGAAGTGATCTGGTTTTTTTCCTTTGGTAAGTATAAAAAAACTGATATTTAAATATGAATAATAATAATATGCTTTATCAAATTTATATTTTCAAATATGTAATGCAAAGCTCAACCTTTGTTGCAAATATCAACCATTCCATTTTTCTCACAGAATTTATAAGGATATGAAAGCCATTTTTCTAACAGAATTTTAATTTAACCTTTTTCTGGCAATGGATATTACCTACGAAATTTGCTCCTTAAAATAATATTTCACGATGTTGTTGGATTTTCAAAGGTTAATTGAAAAATTTATTCGCAAAATTAATATTTTCCCATTTAAACTTGTTCAATTTCTAAAGTTGTAAATTATAAAAACCTTATTATATAGACTTTGCTCGCCGATTAAACCCGAATATGATGTTAAACGATTTAACTTTATCCTAACAGAAGACCAGGGCCCTGGGATATAATAAAGCGAAAGAGAAATTCTCATCGAGAGAGGCGACCTACAATTACGTGTTTTATAGCTAGGGGTGACCACTCAACCGACTAAGCCCTAAGATTTTGTTCAAATGTTCCCACTTCCTTGATTAGTTATCTATCTTTTTGGGTACAAATAGGTTTAAGATAGTAGGTATAGTTTTCAAAAACTAATACAACTTGATGTCTTTGAGGGATTATTCGACTTAGTAGGGGCACATATTTTGGTAAAATTGAAACATGATGAAGCAAAAAGGCCTTAAGTAAAAGGAAAAAGTAGACTACTAATGGTACCGACCGACTTGATCATTTTCAATGGAACGACAGTTAGAGTAGAAAAAAGAAGAGTAAGCATTAGAGGGAAAAGGGGATTATGTCAAGGATTTATTTGTGAATTGGGAAAAAGTGGATATAAAATACCTTAATGTTTCTGAAATAGCTCTGATTGATGTTAAAATTTATTTGAGGGTATCAAGATAAACTAACTTGACAGTTTATTGTAATTTTTACCATGTTAATGTAAAAATAACAACCAAGTAAAACGTAATAATTATTATACATTAAAAATAGCTAATTTCAAAAGTGGATCAATTATATGCAATTATTCAAATTAGAAACTTGATGTGGGTATTAAAGCCACACCGAATATCACACCCCTTTCCATATTCGATCAATAGTTTGTTAGGCAAGCAGGTAATTCTGCTAGTTGAGTTATAAGAAAAATTATCATAATAAAATGACAATCGTACTTGATTCAATTATGTTATTTGGCCAAAAGTTTACATAGTACATTTCAATGAAACTCCACCCGTTTTAAATTACCATAAAAAATAACATATTGAAAGCTCAAAAGACCTGCTTTTGCATTTCAATAGAAATTCATCCAATATCATGTTTAGGTTCGCTGGGTCCATAATATCGCTTTATAGGGTTTATGTAAAAATATCAATTTACATTTGATGGTTTAGCTATTTTAACGAAAAAAAAAAAAATATATAGACATTTTACTTTAAATTCATACACCGTTGCACAGTCGTTTGATAGCCGCCTTTAGCAACATTTGACTCGTTTTTAGAACACCACCAGAAATTTGCGTTTTGTACAAATAATTTAGCAATGTCACTTACTACTCCCCTATACGTCTTCTGTTCTTTGGAGCTAAAGTTTTTCCAGTTAGGATATTTGTTTTTTTTTTTGGATAATTTATAAGGACAACTTTTATAATAAAGTAGATACTCAAGTTTAAAGAAGATTGCTTTTGCACGACCGCTTTTTCTCTCCACTTCTTCATGACATTCCTATTTTTCATTAGGAGTAGCGCCAAGATACGTTAATTTTGCGACACGTTCAATACTTTTTACATTGATGTTAAGAGTAGTGTACTGATATTAACTAATCCTTCATTATTTTTGTTTTGACAATATCGATATGTAGTCCGAACTGTTCACCGCATTCGTTAAGTTTATTTAGTGTTGAGTGGAGGTCTCCAATGTTGCTAGCTAAGGTAGTCAATGAAAATATCCTGCCTTTGATCCTAGAATTTTTGCACAAGTAATTTCATTGAGAAGGGGGCTTCTACACGGCAAAGTCCCTTGATGGAGCCTGTCTGTCGCCACTCATATTTTGAAACTTCTTTAATGTAACAATCGAAGAAAAACTTCAAGTGCTTGGGTCATCAAGCCTATACATCTGTGATATTTGCAATTTCTGCCTATATATATCATCTTGAACTGCGCTTTTATCATTCTTTATATACAATTCTTTGCGTATCTCACTTAACACACAAGAATTTTTCGGCCACTCACATTCTTAGTGGCCGAATAATGTCAAGTTATCTTTAGTCCATCGGTTTGAAATATCCTGTCTGTTCCTTATTGTAACGCTGGTCTTATATTTGCTACGGTTATTTATTTCACCTTTCTATGGGACTTGAAAAGTCGTCCAGTGGATAAAGTCCCCCAGCATTGCTCTTGAGTCTATTTATTTTCAGCTTAGCTTATTTTTCTGTTTATAGTGCGATTTAATCCGATACATACAACGTGTTGCTTTTAACGAGCGAACCTTCAGCCATCAAGTATATTATTTCGTCGGTCATACATGGTTTGATTTTTTCTTGTTCCGTTCGACAGAGACTAGTCTCAGTAGCCGCTTGGATGTTTGTTTTTAGCTTATTTCAGACATTCTTAGCTGCAATTTCCTGACTGAGACTAATTTCTAGGCAAAGTTTCGCTAACTAATTTTTCATATTTACTTCTACTGTGGGCTTCAATGCCTATACAGCATAGTTCACAGCAAGGGGGTTATGATATGATCCAACATTTGCTCGTGGGGTATTGCAAAGTGTATGATACTATTCTGATATATTTTGTGGGGTGTAGAAAACTCTCTGAGGTGTAGCTTGTAGAAAGTTTTCCTAATAATCCAATTTTCATTGCGACAGAATTGGATGAGCATTATCCAAATGCCCCTGTTACATCTTCGATATCAATAACTGCAAAACTTCTTGAAGGTATGGTTGGTTGATTGTTTGGGATGCAGAGTGAACAGGCCAGGTTAGGTGGCCCCGATACTGCAACCGTCGGCTTATTGTATTGTCCTGTTCGTCTGTTTGGTCAGTGAAAAGTTTCGTGACCTAGGAGCCTCTTCACCGTGTGGCTTCTGGTGAGTTTAGAGATTGGGTCTTCTGGCCACATCTGTCTGTATCTCCACCAGCATAAACCTCACATTCGAAGACTACGTAGATGGTGTTCTCATCCTTCTAGTCACAAAGTCTGCACATGGACTCTTCTTGGAGGATGCCCATTGTGTGAAGGTGATTTCTCAGGCTAAAGTGTCCGGTTATGAGTCCAGTTATTAGCCTGATTTGATTCCCGTTTAGTTGTAGGATCTCTTCAGTAAGTTTAGGTGATGGTTGTTGTACCATTAGCTTACTGTGTCTGAGCTGCTGAAGAGTTCGCCAGTGGGTTTGGTGTTGTCTATACACCCATCGGTGTATTTTTCTTCTTACTGGTGATTTTTTGGTGCCAATTGTCGGTCCAGGACCAGTATAGCTGGTTGCTGATCCTTCTCCTGCCAGAGCATCTACTTTTTTCTATCCTTCCATTTCTTTATGCCCTGGCACCCATTTAACCCGGGAGTACACGCGTGTCTGTCAAAAAGACCGACCATTGATAAAATCAGTAATTACGCCACTGGTACAAGGGTGGCAGTTTTGTCCATCCAGGAATGCCTGATGCAGGTTTTCTACTACCCATTGGCCCAAAAATATTTTAATTTTTGATTGAAGTATAGTTCGTTGTTTTCATAGTCGGTGCTTTTGACTAGGCGCATGAGCCTGAGCATCTGAAATATTTGTGTTCAAAATTGGCATTTTCTGATATTAGAAATACTTTTGGCTATCGATAATACGGTAACTGTACTGCATAATATAATTCCCTTTGTAATGATTATGAATTCTAGGAATTATAGTGCTTGTACACTTTTTTCGCGGAAACGATCCCAAACGTATCCTGAACGCTAAGGCATGACTTAAGCAGGTAATATTTGAAAGTTTCATGTCTCTATTGAATAGTAAACCTGCGTAGTTCATGCCTTAGCGTTCAGGATACGTTTGGGATCGTCTCCGCGAAAAAAGCTAATAACTGATATAAACTTTTGGCAGTCGGTCGATTTGACCGAACGCGTGTAATGACGTAAGTTTTTTGGCGCGTGTAATGCCGGGTTAAGGGTCACCTTGTTGGACATACCTAGGTTTTTGAGGTTTTCCAAGCATTCCCAGTTGAGTTTGGATTTTATTTCGCAACTGTTGAGTGCTTTAATCGACGCTTGACAGTCTGAGCAGATAAGGATGTTTTCACCTGTACATCCCCTCCTTAGGTTTTCTCTCAAACAAGAGTCGATGGCATAGAATTCTGCTTGGAATACAGTGGTGTATTCTCCCAGTGGTTGACTGTTTTGGAGCCGTTAGTAATCCAGACAATTTGTTACCCCCGTGCTTCCTACTGGAATGGTGAAGGTTTTTTGAGGGATTTTTTCGGCATCATATAGTCGCTTCCCACGGTTAAAGTCGGATTCGTGATTACCGTCTATTTGGTTTTTGGTTCCAGTTTCCATTCAGCTGGAAACGATAGGCCCCGATTCTGGCCTCGGCTTTGACGATAAGGTCAATTGGTGGGAGGTTTAGGATCGTTTCCAAACTTGCCGTCGGTGTGATTTTCTGTGCACAGGTGATACAAAGACATGCAAGTCTCTGGATTTTGGCTAGCTCCAGATTTGCTTGTCTCTGTTTAACATTACGCCACCATACAAGTGCACCATATGTTATCATTAGTCTTACAACCGTTGTGTATATCCAGTGTACAACTGACAGTTTTAGTATCCATGTTTTCTCAATCGACATCAACGTCATCTTGCTTGTAGTGGTTATCCTTTGAATATGTTGGTTCCATGTTAGCTTCATCAGCTTCAGCAGGATATGTTAGCTTCATCAGCTTCAGCAGAATGACGCCTAGAAATTTAGCATCCCTACGAAACTCCAAGGTTTTTTAGAATAAACTGGGGG